CCCATTTCATATACATCACTGATCCAACTCAGTGTTTCATACTTATTAAAACTCTATTTGCTTGTCCTATTTAAGTAGCACTGCTTCCACTACTGTACTTTAGTTTTGTCCTCTTGTCCTACCATACCTTCATAGGGACAGTCCTTCAGTAATAAACTCAGTTGTCTATTCCAGTTCCAGTCTGAAGTGTTGCTTCAACCAGTTTACTTTCTCAAACCACTGCCAGTTGCAGTGGCTCAGTCTCTAAGTCTAGTTCTAGTATAGCACGTCAGCCTTATGTGTAGCAGTACCTTTTGTCAGTAGTAGTCTTAAGTGGAACTCCTGATCCTCAGTCATCAGGTCTCTTAACACAATCAATTACTGGGTTGAAACGTTTGAACCATGAGAGTCCTAGGATGATCGGATTCCTATCCAATACTGTGGCATAGGCTTCTATCTTTATTAGTTGTCCAGATAAGGATATAGTAAAGAAAACTTTGTGTGTGATGGCTGCAGCTTTATTTGGTGATCCATCGACATTGAACACTGGTCTGGATGTGATACTCTGGTACTGGAGGTTGTGATCTTGAGTGAACTGAATGTCAATATAATTCTCCATTGCTCCTGTGTCGAGCAATGCTTTGGTGGTGACGGTTTTGGCATAGGTTTTTAATATGCAGGGCAAGTAAATAGATTTATAAGCTAATCTCACCTGATATAAATAATCCTTAGTGCCAGTACTTCGAGTTGACGTCATGGCGATCAAAGACTTTAAAAATCCTTCTCAGAAGATATAGCCTGAATGTACTCTTCGGCTATCCCTTCCTCATTGGAAGAATCCTTGGTTTTATCCTTCTCCTAAGTGGATGTGTTGTGTGATTCAATCACCCTGATGCAATTATTTGGGCATTGATGGCTCTGATGTCCAGGTTTATAACATCTGAAACATAACTTCTTCTCCATATGCTCTTTGTGATCCTTGTCTGACAGACATCTAATCTGTTGATCGTTAGATAATGCTTCCTTTGATGATCCATCTCTGGTCTCAACGGCCCGATTGCATCATACAAACTTGTTGTGACCAAAAGAGCAATTGGCAGATGGCATGAATAAAGGTTTATCTCCAAAGATGCTGATCATAGATTGACAGATAGATTGGACGCTGTTGAGGTATCCTACCACGGTGACTGGTAGTGGTGGTTGAGTGGCAATCTTGATCAGAAGGGCAGGGGGAATAAGACATTGGAGTTCTCGGATTTGCCCTAATTTGTTTAGTCTGCTGGCCTGTAAGAGCGGATGAAGAGTGGTGACAAGTTGAACACCATTCCCTCCACACTTTACCCAGGTGCGCTTGCTGATCTCATTTAATGCTACCTGAGTGTCATCTTCTACTCTGAAGGTCTGGATGAAGGACTTTCTGAAGTTAGCCCAACTAGGCAATCCTTTGAGGGGGGTGTCTTTGGAATCAGATATGGGTTCTTCTGCATCAGTGATGATGGTGTGGACAAAGAATTGGGCAGGTCCTTTGATATATGAAAGAGTGCATTGAACCTTATCTTTGTCAGTCTGGATCTTCTTGGTGTTTCCAGCAAAGTACAGGTATAATTCATCCAGGAATTCCTTGCTCTTTCCTTTGTCTCCTTCAAACTGGTTGGGTTTGTTTACTGCTCCACTGTTGTTGTCCAACATGTCTCCTTCTTCTTGCTGATTGCTGGGTTCTGGATCACCATCTTCTGGGTTGTTTGGGTGTTGGTCAGCAGGACCTTCTTCTGGGTTGAGATTGACTGGGGATCTGGGTGGTTCTTGTCACAGTTTTACATATATTTTTCCTATTTTTATTACATTTTCTATGCCTTTTCTGCGGTTATTGGAACATATCTTCACTTATCTGTGCCATATAAGGACTTATTACCTAATACAAGTATTAGGTAGATTAGTACGTACCATTGTAGCGCATGACCTCATTACATAACCTGCCATCACTGGCTAGTGACTATAGGTAGTACATCATTGGTTACCAGCATGTTGGTGCGGGAGTTCCCGGCAGAACTATCTGGCACTTTCATGCGTGACTTATCAGTCAGTGCAGAGTATCAGGAGTCCTAAGTAGTGTCTAGGGTCCTAGAACTCATGTATATAACAACCTGCCAGTCTGAGCATTTACCTCAGACTGAACTATCTTGTCGACCACCACCACTGCGTGTCACCACCTTAAGCTCAACTCTATCAAGACCTTCAACTCCTACAATTTGAAAGGTGAGTAGCTAAGCGTGTTGTGATATTTAGTTCAGTCTGCTCCCTACCTTGTTGCACTGTAAAGGCAACAAGGGTTTTGTTTTCTTTCTATAGGTTGTGGTCATTGCGTGTCGGTGTCAGATCCCTGACAGGTGTTGTCACTAGTGCCGCAAGGGCTAGTTGACTTTGGGAGGCGCCCTGGACATTACACATCGTCCAGGGTTGGGTCTGTTGATGATGACCAATGCCAACCTACTTGCCAGTCCCCAGGCATAAGGGGTGTTCGCTGTCCTTCGGGACAAAGTGCTACATTCGGCTGTCATGAGAACCAAAGGGTTTGACGATGACGGCATGTAGTGTCTGCGGACATAGGCGAGATGCAATATCTCAGCCAAAAAACCTTTGCCTGGAGGCTGGAACCTCCAGGAGATCTGATACTCCATCCACCGGTGTGCTAGTGAGAGATACTAGTGACCAATGCTGACACTACTACACATGACCCGACCCGGACCAAGGATCAAGACCTTTGGACTATTTCTTTTGATTATTTTCTTGATAGTACTCGCTGTAACAGGGGTGCTGATCAAGCTGTGTTTCGATGCCAGATGCCTGCCTACTGCTGCCAATCCACTGCCAATGCTCGCTCTCTTGAGCAGCATATTGCTGCCATCAACCTCCACTCAACGAGCAAAGAGGAGAACCCTCTTCAAGCTCACCTAACCACACTGCCTCCCCCTACCCCTTTAATCAACTGCATCGCTCCTCCAATAGACAACCTCCACTTCCGGAAGACCAAGATCCTCCTGCGTATTCAGGAGATGATCCCGGTAGTGAGATCCACCAGAAATTGCCTGGAGAATCTATTCTTCAAACTCCAGAGAGATGACAACTGGGACATTACTGGTCAAATTCCTTGGCTCCCTGTGTTACAGTCTTATGGGGGGTTTCTTTTCTTTGTCTAACTATTCGTCG